AGCCCTTGAATTCTTTTGGCTACTTTGATTAGAGTTCTATTTTTATTCTTTAGTATGCAGCCCTTCTAACACAGCTTTGGTTTTCTGAATGATCTTTCCTACTTCTAATAGCTTTTTTTCCATTGCTGATTAGCCATGCCAGGTTCTTTTCACCCTTGCTGAAGTCTTTCCCAAAGGATGGGGTATGCTCTGCTGCTGTGTCTCTAACTTCAGAGATCTTACTGCCTGGAAGAATTTAATTATTTTAGTGGCCCATCTCAGCTTCTTTTTAGTGGGCTTCCCTGTTTTCCCAGAGTTGTTCTTTTTGAAGTTAAGAATACTTGTGGTGGATTTTTTGGCCTTTGTTGCCCCTGTGGGGGGACTGAATTGAAGTACATTACGGTCACTGTCACAGAGCAGTGGTTCCATTGTGAGACTCCGAAGCAGCTCCTGCACATCACTCAGGACACAAACAAGCTGTCACTCACTGAGGTCTGGTTGTTTGGGGAGCTGATCTCCAGCCCCCTCTCTGCTTTGCTGATCCATCAGCTCAGTCACAGGTATGTGGCTCTCTCAGAGGATTTCACGTGGGTCTGTCAGAAATGGGATTAAAGGAACTGAATTGTTGTTTGCTTTAATAGTCTATGCATTTAATAAATATAGCACAGGCACAAGCTTTCAGAAAAGTGTGACTGTTGAAAGAATTGTTACATGCACATCCTAACAAACACATTTTTCCAGTCTTTGGAATTCGAACCCTAACCACCTTAAAAATGGAAGCCCCTGATTCTGAGCACAGGTACAGGCAGTGGCAACCAAGGTTTGGCACAAGGCAAGAAAAAAATGCTATACAACCGCCACAAACAGCTCATTTGATCTGGAAGACAAAACACAGCCAACATATCCTCCCCAAAATTCCAAACAAAGAATTTACCAATCAATTTTAACACAAAATGAAGTTAATTCTTTAAAATTAAAGGACCCCTCATGCAGAGTTTTGCTCCCATCTCTTCATCTTTCATGAAAGACAGAGCTCTGAAGTTCACCAGACGCTTCCATCTATCTCTGTTTTGTGTGTGGCTGGTTTCCAGGCCCTGCCAAGAACAGTAGCACCATAAATCCTTAAGACACAAAAGAAAACAAATACTTTTGCTGGTAGGTGAATATTTGGAGACTTCTGTGTACTCTTTCACTGTACTCCTTAGAGACTCAAAGGACTTTTGAGGAAACCCAGAGTGTCTTACACATAATTATTGTTTTACAATACAGCACTTTTTTGCTTATGGGTCTAACTGAAGGTCTGTCCCTTCAGCACCTTTTATCTGGTACTTATAAGTGTTTAGTTCCCTGTTTGCTCAGTACAAGACAGAGCACCATCTGTCTGATCTGCACAACAGTAACAAAATCTTAGGATGTTCATTCTCCTTAAATTAAGAGCTTGAGTGTTACTGTGAGCAAAAACATTTTGTTAAAATAAGGCATTTGGTGTACCTATCCAACAATGCTGATTTACTGAAAAACTTCCAGCAGTGGGATTCATGCATGTGACACACTGACAACTGTGGATTTCTTTTAACATCAGTTTCTGTCTGTCATACCTATGTAGTTACAAAATAACAAAGGGATAATAAAGTGCAATTGTATATTCACAGTTTGAGATTTCTATTGACAGATCTTCACACTGAATGCTTCTACAAGAAAGTGTGATTATATAGCTCTCTGTTAAAAGAGATGAAAATCTCTCCTTTGTTACAACTCTCTTACACACCATTACTATCATTTGGTATATTTTAAGGGATATGTCAAAGTTGACAGGTCCAAATTTGGCCTCCTCTCACCAAATTATATTTGCAGATTTGGAATATCTTCCATATAGGAAAAAATTCCAGCAGTCACCTCCAAGACAAGGGCTAACTCTGTCTAACTGCAGGTCAGCCAATAAGCCAGCAACAATCTCCTCTTCTGTATGACAAAATGCAGGTATATGTTCTGCACTATCCCTCCTCTTCTGGCCTATGTATCAAGCTGATACAGAAGAGGGCTGAAAAATCACTCTGCTTATTCATTTACCTATGGGATAGATGGCTTTATTAGTTCAGCTTTTCGCCTCTAACTTTCCACAGCACCCTTGAAAGCTCTATTTTATTACCACCACCACATGAGTGTTCTACCAGAGCTTTACTTACAACTTTCAGAGTAATGTTCTGGCTTCTCTTCTCATGTGTGAGATTAACAATGACCGATAGTTAAGTTCTTGGATCATTGTTTTCTAGGCTGCAAATTAGCTCAATAAAATTTTCTCAATATATGAGAAAGCTGGTTGGTTCTCTTTATCTGAATGAGTCCTGAAGAAAAAGAAAAATCAGATGTATATTTAATACATATGTAATTAAATTATGTCTGCTGAATTTGGCTTTATTGAGAATCCAAAAGGATTCCAGGAATTAATATTTGTGTCAGTAAAAAATTACTTAGAGATATTAAAAATTTTACTGCAATAGCATAGGACTGCAAATCTGGCTGTTGGATTGTAATTGACAATAGAAAAATCTGTAAATCCCTTAGCTATTTTAGGGAAAAAAAAAAAAAAGAAGAGAATGTAAATTCATACAGTTGGGATGCTTGTCTTCTCCTCCTCATTTTAACAATCCATGAGAAATACAAAAAATATTAATTTCAATGCACATGCCTAACATAGGCCATTAGACTATAATCTCTCCTGGTCTAGATTTATTAGACAGCTGTATACAGAATACTAACATTTGGATCCAAGCATCCTAAAGTATTTACTCTAAACTCGTAGCCCCTCTTAGCTACTTTTTTTGCAGACACATATGTATATTTTAAAGTGAAATAACTGCAAAGGACAAAGAGCAACTTCCTTAATCCATCTCCTATCTCCCCCATGCTTTTGGAAATCTAACAGAGTACACAATGGTGATTTGGAGTTCCTGGACATAATATGCTTCAAAGCCTTTCAAGCAAAAAGGCAACAAGTCCAGAAGCACACCTTAGTAGACTGTTGGGCTTCTGAGGAAAAAGGAGCAGCAACATCTCTTTTTGCCCTTTCATTCAGCCAGCTCCAAAATATTGGCCATAACCAATACTATACAAAACAATAACAACAAAACACTATCCTGCAGTAAGCAAATAGAGCATGTATTCCCTCTAAACCAGACTGGAAATACATTGCTTGATTTGACAACAGACGGTTATAGAAAATCAGGAGCAATGTTGGAAAATGTATTTTCCATCCCGAGGCTCTGCATCCATTGCATGCTTCTTTTGCTCACCATGCAGTAATTTTGTGTCTTGGCTGCACTAGTTATTACCCAGCACTCCTTTGAACCTTTCAGCACATCAGGGAGGCTTTCTAAAGCAAAGCTTTATGTAGAACTTATATGTTAAATTTTTTTCCGTAAACCACAGGAAGAAGTCAACATTAACCCTTTTTTTTTTTTGTGCTTTTAATGCCCCAATGTCCAAGTTAAATTTTCTTCAGGTTTTCTTTTTTGTCTCTACAACTCTATTTTGTAGTGCCAAATGAAACTGCAAAATAAGGTGGAACTCTTAGGAACCCACATTTCCCTCTGAGCCCATATGTCTAGGTCTGTGCATTTAAACTCTAAGAATAGCTTTTTCTTCAGATGTGCTGGCCACTATTTGGGCATACAAGAATGCATAAGCATCTCTGTAAGTGACCAGAGAACATTCCTCTAGAAGATTTTACTTGTTTACTTTGGCAGGTATGGAAACATTTCATTTGTACCCTTGTGGAGATTCTCCTCTTGTACATAGGTCTTCCTTTTTCAAAAGACAAGTATGAGCCACCTTCACAGCTTTGTGACTCTGTCCACATCAGGGGGGAACTCTCCAAGGACCATGAAGCAAGATCATAATGGAAATATCCACATGTAGCAACGTGGAAGCAATAGAAACCTTACAAGATTCTAAGGTTGTATTACTTTTTCCACACATTCCTTTTATGCTGAAATTTCCCAGTGAAGTTTCCTCATAAAAGAATCTTCACTGGCAGATAGCAGGTGAGGAACTGGACACCTCAGAGCTGGTTCACAAGTTAAAACTCCCACAATCTACCTCCAACTTTAAAGGAATCAATGGCTTTTATGGTGGCCTTTTAAAAATTTCTTCTTCCACTCTGCAGTCCAGGGCAAAGACACATATCCCGTGACTTCCTTTCTCTGAAATATCAGATATTCAGTCTTTCTGTGAATGCTGCGGACTAATTCAAAGTTGGGTTCTTACAGCACTAAACATCCAAAGCAAATAACAAAAGTGGAGGCAAACACTACAGTATGGTCATCTTAAATAAGCAGCATCAATTGAAAAATATTAAAACTTCTACTAGTCTCTATAGTCAAGGCATTGCTGGATTAGAGAATGAAAGTAAATGGAAGAACAGGGATTAGTAGAAGGAATAAAAAGATTATCAATTAAATTAATTATCTTTAACAGATCAAAGGAGCATAATTTCTCTTTTCTCTTCCAAGCACTTTTGAAAACACAGCCAACATAGATGCTGTTATAGTAAATGTCAAAGCCATGCCTCAGGCCTAGAAGTATCCAAGCAGGTATTTCACTTTAAGTCCTCACAAGAGACAACCCATGGGATCTACCTGACCCAAACTTCTCCAATACCAACTGCTTCAGGGCCTAAATGTTTTTGGTTTTTTTTAGTATTAATTTGAATTGCTTCTCCTCTTCTAGGTCAAGACGAACAATAAAATTGACTGAAATCATACATGATATTACTCATTATAGTCATCCATAATATTAATCTCATGATTAATAATCAGAAGAGGTTATCACAGACAAAATTTAAAATATCTCTACAGATTTTAGTATATTTTTGCTTTCCATTGTTTCAAACCTTGGAAAAATCAAATATACCTTTTGTGTGTTTGGCACAACCTCCCTTTATTGCTTTGCCTTTATGTGCGTTTAAAGAAGAGATGCCACTACAATGTCAAAAAAGAAATCTTCTTTTCTGTTTTTCACAGTGCTGAACTGTGCAGTACAAGAAGTGGGAAAATAAGTGTCACCATTATGATGTGCAAGCAAAGTTGTTGAAAGTCTCACTCCAGTCAGAAAACATCCTGTAACTTTTTGCCTTTTCTGCCACATTTGCTCTGCAGATGCTGAAGATTCTCCAAATCTCATAAAGTTAAATAAGGTCTTCAAATAATTTCTCACTGATAACAAGGAGGATGTCAAGCCATGACTTGAAGATTCTGGGAGTTACCTATTTCTTTGCCATTGACACTTACTCTCTTTGCACACTACCTTTTCACTTATTTTTGGTTAATCCTTTTTTGCTTCAGCAAATCCTGTCCAGGAAACTCTGCAATTAATTTTACCTAGCTCAACCAGGCAGTACTGAAGGATGTACAGAAATAATAGCTATTATTTTTGAGTTTGCCTTTAGCATAAAGGCAGCAAAAATAAATCTGTATTTATTGACATGGACATGTTCAGGAGATCCTGTTCATGTCCAACAAGACAAAATTGAATAACCAGTGTGCCAAAATCCCTGTAATTGGAATTATCTCTCTCTTCCTCTTGAAATGTAGGTTATAAAACTAATAGTTTATACCAGAAAAATAGTCATTTAACTTTTCATGTTTATGACAATGAGTGATAGCTATACTGCATTAAATAAGTGTTTTGTTCTTCTAGAAAACTTTTCTAGATTTGATCAAGAATAGATAAAAAGGATGTCAAAAATTCTATCAGAATTGACAGGATTCCTATTGAAGAGGTACCATTCATCATTGATTGAGCTTATTAAGTTACTCAGAGGCTGTGCAGGAGTTTTAGGGATTCTAATACTTTCTTTGTTCCACAGTTCTACTCAAAAGAGACTTCACTAATTCTACTACAGCAGTGGTGCAAAAAACAGCCATGTGAAAGAACCAGACCTATTGAAGCACAAGGACTGTTACAGCTACAGACAGTGAAGCACAGGAGACATTGTGTAGTAACTGCAAGGGACTTGGATCATTGCATATTTCCCTGATAGTCTGATAACCTTGGCAGACAGAACAGCCTATTTCCCATCTTCAGCCTTTCTCACCAACGCCAGTGGTTTCCCTTTCTCCAGAAAGAGAGCTACAAAATATTGCAAACAAGCTATCTTAGCAATAAGAATGAAGACAACCTATTTGCAAAGACAATCTGTAGAAATACCTCTACACTAGCAGAAAAAGAAATGCTACATTAAACTGTTAGGAGAGTTCACACATTAATATCAATCACTGTACTTGTGTGGTTTTAATACACTAAGTTAATCTGATGAGGAGTCACTTAACAGACAAAGTAAAAAAGTGGAAATAAACAACACTCAAAAATACATGGACTTGAAACTGATCTTAATTTTTTGGTAACACAGGATTATTAACACTGCAAAACTAAAATGCAAACAGGTATTTCAGCAGGATTAGATTGTATAGCATTTGTAACCCAGTGTAGGAGAATAGTGCATTCTCCTGTCACTGAAAAGGTAGTGAAATACAGTATTAGAATTATTGTGGTATCTATATGCACATTTTCTAATATGAATGATGTGTCATAAACATAACTCATTCTATTACTGCATGATTATGTTGAAATACTATAACATGGTCATAAATGAAGAGAAATTATGTTGAATTGCTTGTTCTATTGAAATAGTCTTCAGGATGATCAGAATTAAAATAGGGACACTTAGTAAATACTTAGTAAATGCAGCAATGGTTTTATTCTTTGAAAAGTGTCAATTGTATGTGAAAATGAAACTGCAGATGTACTTCAATATTTATCACGCCAGGTATTTCATTCACATTGTAGAAAATAGCCATATCAATGGCAGAAATGAGGTATGAAGTTAGCTTGTGTAGTGGATAAGCTGGCAGGAAAAGAAAAAAATTGCAGTCTATAAATCCCCAAATGAAAAATACAATATAGGGCTTCATAATGCCTTATCATTGAGATGAAACTATGAACTGGAGGAGCCAGACAGAAAAATGAATATGTTTAATGGCCTCTTTGTATTGGAAAACACCCTACATAATTCAGACACGTTACAGTTTTCTGGCTGTTTGTATAAAACATGTTGAGGTAAACTGTGAGTGAAATAGTTGTGGATAAATAACCAGAATTGTCTCAAGATTAAAACTGATTCTGAAAGACAGAGTCAATTAGTTCATTTCTTGTTCTTGCCAGTAGCAGATAGTAATTTCTTGGGCAAGTCATTTAACTCTGTTTTATCTCCTTGATCTCTATAGCAGATATGCTGTTATTAGGTCCCTTACTGGGATTTTATGTGGTTTAATAGTCTTAACATTGAGGTCCTTGGGTGTAGAGTTCTGTATAAACAAAACTACTTCATTTTGACTGATTGCAGCACCTTTGAGCTTGAGCTGCAACTCACTTCCACTTACAAATTATTTTTCTTTATAGATTTGGATTGGTAAATGGCCTGGCTTAAAAATGGCTACATTGTTGGGTTTTTTTTCCCTGAATGTATGCAACATTGCATCTTTTTTTATTAATCTAATTGTCAAAGGAAGAAAAATTAGGACAAAACTAAGGTGCTACAGAGTATGCTTATAACATACAATCGAGTGGGATGCAGAGATTACAGAATTAACACTACTTAAGCTCATTACAGATCTAGGACAACCCAGGTAACCAGTATAGTTATCCAGCCTCCACAGCGTTGCTCTGAAGACTCACTGGGTTCTCTAAGCATTCACTGTTTCATATCAGCTCTGCTGGTACTACCTTGAGAATCAAACTACTTATCATGGTATGGGCTTGCCCAGTGCAAATTAGTCTGGAAAATACTAGAAGCAAACTGCTTCTAGTGGAAACCCTTTGGTAGTAAAGCTGACAATGCAACACTGCTCCTAAGAAGCACTAAAGTTTATCACCTGGCCTTAGTTGTAAGACATGGATCTAGACTGTAGCCTAACACCATCATGTGTCCACAGGTGAGAGCAGTAGTACCTGGATGTGTACTGAAAGAGGAGAGAAAGAGGTGGAGATGGTAGGGGCCTCTCTCTACCCTGCCTTGAGGCTACACCAGCAGTTTTCTCTTAACAGGCATAAATTTAGCAGCACAGTACAGATGCTCAGCCTCTAAAGCTTACAACCATTTAAGGGTATCAGACCTCATGGAAATCACCACATGTACGTGCAGTGGCACACATCTTTGCATCACACACCCTAGTATTTGTAGCATCTGTCATCTAACTCATTTGGTCCTGGACTTTGTACACAGAATTTTGGTCCATGGCCCCAAGTAGTGGGAATTACAGCTTTCTCTGGCAGTGTCATAGCCTCTCAGTGGAAGAAAAGTTGCCTTGGGAATAATACAAGAAGGACACATGGTAAATCAATGGCAATGGCTGTAACCAGGCCACACTGGACAGCATCATGTGGACAGCATTTGGGATTGCTGTGCAAATAATCTGTCTGGTGATTCATGCTCACCTCTAGGCCAAGTCTGGTGAGTCAACTTATGCCTGGGGACAGCCCTGGTCAAGAAAAACAGAGTGGAGCAGGATGTGGGAACACAAATACTGCATGTGTGGGCAGCTTGCCCATACTCCTCCTCCTCCTGCTTGTCACATGCAGCCCTTCAAAGAATGGATGTTTCCTGGTTGCTTTTTCCCCTGGGCATGGAAGAAAGGAAGCAGCCATCCTCCAATGCTGAGTCTGATCCTTGTTGTAGCTCACTATTACACTGTCCAGGAGGCAGAGAGCTTTTCCACAAAAGCACACTTTGCTGACAGTCTAGAAAGTGTTCAGACTGGAAAGGACAAAGCAGGTGGACGAGACTGCTGTTTCTGCCAGTCAGCAAAATGGATACAAGGAACAAGGGCAGAGATTTCTTGCTTAAAGTGGTTGACAGGAAAGGTTTGGAGAGTGAAGAGAAATCCAGAAGTACAAATCTAAGTCACAGGATCCCTTAGAGGTACTGACTTTCCTGGTGGAGGAACAGGCCTCCACTTGCAGATGTAAACTGTGCTGAGGCTATTGCAGATTAATGTTGGGATGACTAAAGGACCCACAGATTAATGTTGGGATGACTAAAGGACCCCTGTCACCTGGTAAAAGTTATTCATCCTGCAACCTCTGAATGTTAAATGGTTCCTTGTGATCTTACAGGGGGATCCTACTCCATTTTTTACATTTATGCAAACCTGAACTCACAGACTTGAGGAAAGTCAATATCCAACAAGAACACAAAACATCATTGGGACCTTTGTGTGTGTTGTGATTGTCAGAGTACTTGTCAAAACAGATCCTGCCAAAATCCTCCTGATACTTAGCAGGCTAGAGGAACCCTTAGGTAAGGACTCTGCAGCAATGCCAGGGTAGGGCAGCTTAATTTGCATTGGGTGCCCTCCAAGCACTACTGGAAGGCATGGTAAAATTCACACTGAAATTCAAATGCTAAATAATTTCCACTAACAAGCACAAATGCAAAAAAATCTACATGCATTTTGAAAAACATAAGCCTAAAGTCTAAGAAAAATCAGGCATAGTGAGAAGAAGCAACATGGAAAAGGCCCCACAGTGGAGACCAAAAATACAGGTTTAGATTTGAGTATACACTGCAATTTGGAAATGTTGCTTTAGAGCTAGAACATCACTTCTCTGAAGCTTCATCTCATCATGATTCTTCCCCAGAACAAGGGCTCTGCTTGGATTTCATCTTTCATTGGAGTGAATTTAGCTTGGTGACGCATGGTAGAAATCAGCAAGGAAGCACAAAAGAGAAAAAGGCACCCCAGCGACAAGTACTCTGGTAACAATTTGAAATGTAAACATCTTCATATTCTACCAAAGTATTTGGGGTGGAATTGCCGTGTTGCCTTTTTTTTTTTCAATCAAAGTCAAAAATCTTGCAAGACCTTTGAAATGGCTTCTTCAGTCAGAAAATAGTTTTTCACCAAAAGCTATTTTAGTAAATCTTGTCCTTACCAGCTGACATATCTGGATACAAAATTAAATAGGGCTCTGAGACCTGAGATTCTCAACAGGTTTGAGATTTTACATAGATGTTGTTGAACAGTTTTCATTTTATTGGTTCACTGGTCACTTTGCTTTCTAATTTTAAAAGCAACAACCACAATTTTACTAACAGTGAAAAAAATGCCAATAGCACAGAATAGAATTTTAGAAAGGAGAATACAGATGAAATACCAGAGAAGAGATGCATCAGACTGTGCAGTGTCATCTTAAGTAAAACAGTGAAAGTTACGGTTCTCTTATATGAAACTAGAAGCAGTAGAAAATGTACTTATCCTACAACAGCATTACAGAGTCATCACGAATAGCTCTTCTCTAATTAGGATTTTCTCTGAGATCAGCTGCATTAAAGCAGGGCAGCTTAATATATGAAAGCACCAGTCACAGTCTCAGTCAGTCTGCAGAAACCATATGAACTTGTGGCTCATTGGCAGCACTGCAGGGGCTCACACAGTGCATGACACTGATTTATCTGTAGAAGGAAAATTAAGCACAGCCAGGTGATGCATTATGCCTTTCTCTTGGAAAAAAAAAATCACAAATTAAATTATTTTCATTTGCTGCACAAATGTTTTCATATCAGCTGAGTAAAATAATATTTACTAAAGTACAGCATTTATATCTGAGTTTCCATGTGTTCACTGCAATTTGGGCTTGGCTTTCTGACACTTTTAGCAAGATGTTTAGCTTGTTTCAACTGCGAGAAATGCAAATTTTCCCTTTTCCTCCTCCAGTTTGGATTTTAGAGACATAAATAACTTTGAGAGTTTGGGCACAGTGCTCATTTTTCACTGCTTTCTTTATTTTATGAACATGAGTGGTACAGCCAAAATAATGAAAACCAATCATATTACCTTATAAATTATAGTATTTAAAAATAAAATTATTAAGAAAATGTAACAAAATAAGGAGTAGTAAAAGATAAACAATCTACTGTAAATATTTTGGCCACTGCACTCTAAACTGTATTTAAGTCTAAACATGATTTCAGAATGAAAATTTTCTTTTCATATCACTATATCCTAAGTTTCCAGGTGAAAGATGTGGAGAGGATACACTGTTGCTCTGAGAAACGTGGCTTAGAGACTTTGGTACAGGGCTTGGATTGTTCCATGATTTGTGCCCTTTTCTTTCATCATTTTCCCTGGCGTGTAAGAAGCTGGCAAAGCTTAGGCCAAATTTTGTCTTTAATGTGCAATTGCCCACGTGACTTTAGAGGAGATATGATTAGTCTAGAATTTTATAGAGAAATGAAACTACAGCTTTGAAAATGGGAACAATGACTTAAAAGCACAGCTGAACCACATGCTGAGATACTTAACTGATGCATGGAAAGTCATAATAACAGCAATGAAAGATCTCCAGTATAGATATATTTCTGGGAGTGGTACTTACATTAAATTAACTGTTGTGGAAAGTTTTGCTTCAGAATGTGGAAAAAATCTGGTCCACACCACTTAGAAGGGACTCCTTAAGAGGTATAGCAGATAAGAACCACCTCAATTGCATCCTGGCATGACATTTCCTAATGGTATATATATAAGTCTACTGACATTAGGCAATGAACTTCAATATAAGTCCTCAGGAGAAAACGTTCCAACCCACATTATGAAGCAGCAACAGAACAAAGAACTTCAGTGCCCTGGGAACTCTGCTGCTCTCCAGAAGGAAGGCATGGCAAGAACAGCGAGCTCTGCTCCACCTTTACTGAGCAGCCTGGGACCCTGGGACCGTATTATGGCCACTGATGTCTGCTACTGGTCACTGCTGTCACTACCCATGTTCACTAGATTAACTTGAACAAGTTTCACCAGCATTTAGCTGTTCATTTAGTGCCATAGGACTGTACATCCTTTTACAAAGCTGAAGCCTAATTCTGCTTGCTCTGTAGGAATGTAATCAGACCAATTTACTCATGTAAACGTGTCTTTTTCTTTGCAGAAGTCCTGGAACAGAATTCCTCACACAGCACAAAGAGCCTTTAGGTTCTCCTATAGAATTTTAATAACTGCATCAAACAGTTTCCTTTCCCTTTCTGAGGAATGGAAAAAATGCAAAATGTCCAAATCCCAAGATGTGTCCCATTAAGCATGAAGAAAAAGTTTTTATTGCATTTACTATCTTCCATCTTACTACCTCCAAAGTAATAAT